TGCTCCTCCCTGCAGGGGTGGGTGCAGGCGGGGGTGAAACAAAGCGAAATGAGGAGCAGGCTTGGTCCTGCCCTGAGAAAAAAGAGCTGCAGAGCCTCTGGGTCAGCCCCGTGAGGGTGCCTTTTGCAGGAAGCCCAAGAGACCACCCCAGACTTCAGCCCCCGTTGGGCGGAGGGCTGGGGGTACACCGATTTCTGGGGCAAAGACCACAGGGCCCAAACAAAACTGCAGTGGGCGAGTGTCAGCCACCAGCATGGACCAGCTGCAGCCTGATCCCTGCAGCCAGGCTGGGCTTCCTAGGTGGCTGCCACCCCCTCCTCTGAACGAGGCACAGCTTTCAGGGGGGCACCCCCTTGGCAGAGGCTTTTTGCCCAGCCTCAGGGCCTTTGCTTTGTGGTGCTGGAGCAAGTTCTCACTTCCTGGCAGCATCCCCATCCACCTCCTGCCGAGGCCAAACCCTGTGGTGCTGAGCCCCTGCCAGGGTGCTGTGGGCGAGGGGAGGATCTGGCCACTGGGACTGATACCCATGGGCAGAGCCCTGCAGGGTGATGTGGGCTCAGGTTTGAGAGCCACCACATTGTGCCCACCTCGAGGAGCCAGTATTTGCAAATTGCTACCTTCATAGGAGCAACCCCTCCCAAAATGTAGGGATGATGCTAGGAGTAGGTTAACCCCCTCGAAAGGGAGTGCCTGTGCCAGGCTGATGGGGAGCTTCAGCTTGTCAGCCCTAGGTGATGGTGATGCCAAGGTTCACTGCCTAAGAGGCTCAGTCTCAGGGAGCTTGTTAGAGGAGCCGGGTCACTCCCCCTCCTGCCCTTTCTCAGGGTCCACTCACCTCCTGGCTCAGACCACAGGTGCTGGAGCATCCAGGGGTGTCTGGGAGCTGGCGGGCACCTAGGCACCTGCCCTCCCTGGGAATACCCACTGGCTCCCAGGGCTTGGCCCCACGCAGGAACCAGCTTTGGAACATGTTGCCCAAGTTGCCGGTTCCCAGGTCTTGCACAGCCCCCCGCAGCCCCCCCGCAGCCCGCCCTCCCCGGCTTTGTGCAGCCGTACAAAGGGGAACCTGTCCGGGCTGCTCTGCGTCCCAGGAGCTGGCTGATAATTAAACAAAAGCAAAATAGCCTTGGCATGAAACTTGACCTTTCCAGAGCTTGGAGGGGGGAAGGGGAGTTTTGCATCATTTCTAGTGGTGGTTATTTTTATGTATTATGCTTTTTTTCTGGGGATCTCTGTGCTGGGGGAGCAGGGAATCCCTGTGCTCTGACAACAGGCTGGGATGTGGGAGGCAAAGTCCAGGCTGACCATTCCCATAGCACATCGATCCCTCTGTGCTCTACAGATGGAGGGACACACCCTCCAGCCAGCTTCCTTCGGGATAACAGAGACGGTCCTCTCGGATGGAGGAATCTCAGCGCTGGAGGGATGCCAGTGCCAAGGGTGTGTGTTGGCCTCATCCCCATCCCTGTATGAGAGGGAGGCAATGATGCTGCACCCAAGCCACCTTCATCCCAGCTCAGGGAGCTGATCCCAAATTACCAGCACCTTCTGCTTTATGAAGAACCCTGCAACACCGAGGTGCCTGAACTGCTCCCAGGAAGACACTCTGCTTGGCTTCTCCCCTTGGCCCCCCGCTGTGGGAGGTCCCTCCCCTGGGCACAGCCCGTCCCCATCCCCTGCTGCACCTCCCGGCATGGGGCTGCCACCTCCTGTGCCCACACCCAGCAAAGCCTGGCAAAGAATTAATCTTCAACTGGCTACATGGGATTGTTGCCATGATGGTTATTACGCTGTGTCCTGCCTGGTGCAGCGTTAATGATTAACGGCCCAGGTTCCATGTCAGCTCCTGCGTGCTGCCTTTTGAATTGCCCTTCTGTCGCCTCCTCTGATATCCCGACAAATAACCAGGGCACGGAGCTGCCCGGAAAGCACCCTTGGCGCTGGGTGGGCACCTGGGATGTTTTATCTCTGGAGCAAGGAGGAGGAGGGGAACCAGGGAGGAAGACTGTGCAGAGGAAAGGGTGCATTGCCTCACTTCTTCCCCTAGGTCAGCCTGTGCCCTTCGAGGATGTCCTCTCCTCCCAGATCCGCCTGGCCAGGCTGTTACAGTGGGCGGGGGGAAATCCCCCGGCGGGTGCTCCTTGGGCAGCTGATGCCAGATGAGTTTGCTTTTGCTTCCCATTCGCTCCCTTCATCAGTAGAAGCCCAAAGAGCTGAGATTCTTCTTCCCTCTCATGACAACTCTGTCCCCCACCAAAGCTAATTCCCAGGAGGCAGCTGTTTCCTAAAGCGCTGGGTGCTGCCTGCTCCCTGCCAGCACACACCCCTCTGCCACGCAGGGTTTTGCCTGTTGTGCCCCAGGGCAGGCGATCCGGGTGGTAAAGGCACGCTGCAATTCACCTGGCACTTTGGCCCATGTGCAGAACCCACCACGGCAGGGCAGCGGGTGTGCAGGCACCCCACGGGGCTGCTGGGCGGGTGAAAGGCAGTTCTTCAGACTCCCCATATGGCCAGGAGCTCCAGCCCCTCGTTCTCCCCACCCTGTGCCCACGGGGATGCTGCCAGAAGGGGCCAGATCCATCCCACCCAGCCCAGCCTCCACCACACACCAACAACCCCTTGCTTACTGCTTCCGAGGGTGAGGGTGCAGCTCATCACCTCCCCAAGCCGGGAGAGGAGCAAACCCAACCCAGGAGAAAAACAAAGTCTGCCCCCAGGCCCAGCCCTTGGCTCCTGCTTGGCTCTGCCCATCCCAGAGGGTTTCAGCCTGTGCTGGTGCCGCCTGGCCAGTCTGGTTGGCACCCACACGGGGGTTATTGCTCACGGGGGGGGGGGCACAACCCATGGCCAGGGAGCACTGAAGGTGAGCGGTTGGAGAGAGCAGTGACCCAGGCTCGGACACACGGCTGGGTGCTGCCCACTGCCTGCAGTCCCTGCTAGGGAGACTTTACCCTCGTTTTTCCCCCACTCTGTGTCATGGGTGAAAAAGAGGAACCCCCCCACCCCAGCACACACACCCTGTCATGTCAGCTGCTCGGATATCTCGAGTCCAAGGACACCTTCCCAGGGGCAATAAGGAAGTTTCTGTTTGCTACCACGTGCCCCCAGGGACTTTTTGGATTCAAATGACACAACTATCAGCTTTTGGGGTGCTGCCAGTCTGGGGAATCAAGCAAGTCTAAGGGTTACAAGGTGCAGAGATGCCTGGTGACACCTGCATGGATTGGTGGGGACGGTGGTGTGCTGGGATGCGTCCCAGGGCTGGTGGGAGACCAGCAGGGATGGGGTGGAGTATCCTCTGTGGAGCTCAAAAGTTCCAGCAATGCCTGGGCAGAGGGAAGCGAAGTGCAAGGGCACAGTGGGAGAACAGGGGCAGCTGCACCAGCCGGGTTTACCCACCACTACCCCGCTGATGCCCTTCAGCTGCCAGGGGAGCAGAGAACCAGAAAGGGTGACAGGGAGGAATCGTATCTGGGAGGAGAAACTGGTCCTTCAAGTTTTCCCAGCAGGTGGAGAGGAGGAACTAAGCTGGTGGTTGCACGGTTATTGCCAAAACTCAGCACCACAGAAACTGCCTGTCCTGTCCTGGAGAAACCCCATGGCCTGGAAGAGGTGTGAAGCCAGGAGCCTCCAGCCAGCCAGGCATCACCCCTAAGCCCGCTCGGCCCCACAAGGGTGATGGCAAGAGGGTGTTTGCCAGGAGCTGGCTTTGCAAGGCAGCCCCAAAAAGAGGATGCAGAGGAAGACAAAGCCAGACCAGGTGTGCCCCATGGTGCCCAGCTCTGAGCCAACCGGCTCCTGGGCACCACGACGCCTCTGGGAAGGGCTCTGGGCAGTGCTGGGCTCCAGGCGGCTCTGCGTACTCAGAGTGGGAAAAGCAGAATAAAAGCCCCTGACGTCACCCATGAGGTCACTAGTTTATGGTGAAACCAGGACCTTCACCTGTCCAGCGAAGAGGAGGAAGAGGCAATTTCCTGGCAGCTTTTCCCCCACACCTTGCCGTGGGGCAGGGCCAGAACCCACGTCCCCAGGGCTGACTCACCCAGGGTGGGGAGCAGGTCCCCGCACCCGTCCTGCTGCCACCCAGCTGCTCCCGCTGACGTGCTGGGTGCTGGATGGCGCTGGGGAGATGCCAGACCCCAAGGGCCCACAGCAGTGCCCCAGTGCAGCCCCGTACCCAGTGTGGGAGCTGATAAGGGGCTGCCACAGCAGGCACGGAGCAAGGTGGTGCACGGGGAGGCTGTTTGCCTACTGGCCTCCTGCCCCGCTGCTAATCACCCCGTCCTTCACCACGACTAACACACAGCCCTTGTGCTCTGCCCCACAAAAGGGGAGGTAGGGAGCCTCATATCAAAAATGGGGTGAAGCAGCCCTCGACAACCCACCCCCGAAACCACCCATCTTGGCCTCGCCTTTGAAATGGGAAACTGAGGCACGGCATGGGGATGCTCAAGGTGGGGTGGTGCCAAAGGCAGGGGAGAGAGCGATGCTGGGGAAAGGGAATGTCTGGAAACCTCCAAGTCCACCCATGACCCCCCACTATCCCCATACATAGAGGGACTGTGGTGCACCATACAGGCAGTATGGGACAATGCTGAGGGATGGAGATGGTCGGAGATGGGGCTGGCAGAATCTGGTCCCCCACACCCCCCCAAGAAAGGCCAGTCCTGCCTTTCAAGTCGAGCTGTTTCTCCGTCCATGAACCTCCGTTGCTGAGCGAGCAGCGGCTGTTGCGGAGGGCAGGACAGGTTTGCAAGGCTAATGGTAGCCTCCGCCGCTCCCCAGCTGTTGTGCAAACACCGGGCTGCTTGTTTCCAAGCACCCAAGCAGGTGAGGAACCGCAGCAGAGGGAGGGCACGCAGGCTGCGGGCAGGGCTGTGCTGCCTGCATGGGGCTCAGGGCATGGGGGGGGGTGAAAGGCGAGGCAGCCCCCAGCCCTGCTGCACTCCCCCAGGCAGAGGCTGCTTATTGAAGGCTGAAGAAAATAAATTGTATCCAAGATTAAAAATATATTTGTTTTTTCTTTACAGCATGGAGAGGGGCTCAGCCATGAAATGACAAGGGGTAAGGGGTAGCCTTGGCCACCGCAGGACCAGGAACCAACAAGGCTGTGCTTCATGCCAGGGCAGGGCGGGGACCAGCCAGCACCTCTCCTAGGGGCCAACACGGTGATAGGGTTAAGGCTCTCAGAAAATAGATGTAGAGGTAGATACATCCCCATGTGAGGGTGTAGTTACCACCTACACCACCTTGGCTGAGCACCTGCCCCAGTTCAGCAGAGGAAAGCAGGGGGGCACTGGCCAGCCCCCACCTGGGGACACAGTGGGGACAGCGTGGGAGAGGTACAGTACATGGCTGCAAGGGTTTAATCAAGACATCGCTGTGCCACTGCCAGATCAGCAGCCCTGACCAGCCCCTGTGCTGCTTTATCTCCTGCTGGCATTGGCTAAACAGATGAAGCAGCTTTCCCCCTACACACCCCCCTTCCAAACACCCCCTAAATCTCTATGTACAGACTCAGTGTGCCATATCAGTACAAAAATATACACATAAACTCTACAGATCCCAGATCAGTAGATCGAAACATAGCTATAAATCACAGTGCACAGGACAGCATCAGGCTGAGGGAGCGATGGAGTCCCCCCAGGAGCATGGCACGCCACCGGCGCACCCCTGCATGGTGGGGGGGCAGATCATCCTCCTGCATCGTGGGGTCATTTCTGATCCAGCTGGCAGTACAGGTACATGGAAACCGTCATGGCCGCGATCTGTGGGCAGCAAGAGGCAAGTCAGCCCCCTATGTGTCCTATCCCAATGTGGGTTTGGGCCACAGCCCGTAGCATCCACACCCCGCACACAAGAAGAAAGAGACAGGTGTGCCCAGGGAAGAAGATGCAGTAGTCACCCTGGGGCAGATGGTGGTCCATAGGGCTGCACCACCTCCTTGCAGCCCCTTGGCCACTCAGGCCACTCCCAGCCCCACAGCTCACCTCCAGGTACAAGGAGGATGCAGCACAGCAGTGCTCAGGCACTCACCTCCAAGGCAGCGATGCCAGCTGCCACGCCACCCACCACTCCTGCGTTAGTCTTGATTTCATCCAAGATCTGATCAAAACAACCCTGCAGGAGGCAACCGCACAGGTGAGGATGAGCAAAGGGTAGTGATCCCCTGAGCACTGGGGCACAACATCCCCGAGAAGAAAGGTACAGTTCTCCAGCCTAGAGCTGCACGGCCATGGAGAAGGTCTGAGGGCTTCAGAGGGCAACTCATCTCAGGCACTTCTCAGGCCAAAGCACAGTATTTGAGGGGAGGAGGGGAATAGGCAGGGAAGGCTCTCAAAAAGGCAGCATAGTGCCTGGGTTTGTGCTCAGCTCCAGGCATGCTCCCTGCTTCAGAGCTCCCTTTAGGACCAGAGCAACGGCAGCAGCTTTGCTTGTCTCCACCAGGGACAAACCAAGGCCACCACAGCATCTCCCAGGACAAAGCCCATGGGACCACCATGTCCAGAGCTGGGGATGGAGCTACAGGACAGGTCTCCCTCCCCATGCCAGGGCACACCCCAAACCAGGCTCTGCCAGAAGGGAAGAGCCGCTGATGCGTCCATACCGGGACATCACTTTCTGTGGCGATCGTGACGTTGCAGGGCTCCATGTTCTTACAGCACGGGGCTGGGTAGGTTCGATGCTCCTCAAGCCAGTAGGAATCGGTGAAGTCTGTGTAGTTATTCAGGCCACAGCAACGGACCTAAGAGGGAGTGAGAGAAGGGATGGGGAAATCATCCCACAGGTATCCCTCCTGGGTCAGACATGGTCTGGACCCCACTGCCCCATGGAGGGGATGCTGCAGCTAAACCAAGCTCTAGGGGAAATGCTCAATGGCTTTCTTGAGACCAAGATTTTGCCCCACACTCCAGCATGTACAGCTCTCCCCTCAGCCATGGGACCACTAAATCCCAGGTTGGTAGGTCCCAGGCACCTGGGAAGCTGACAGGTTGGCAGCAGCTCAGCACATCCAGGATTGCAATGGTGTCCTCATTCCCATCCCACTGGCCTACCCGGGTGTGCACCACCAAGTCTGTACTGGGAGCATCCTGACACAGGTGGGGGGGCCCAGGGCTCAGCACACCTCCGTCATGGTGACATTCCAGATGTGTGTGAGACTCTTATCCTTTCCATACTTCTCCTTCAGGAGAGGGGTCACCACGGCCGTCAGCAGCGTCTCTGCCTGGAAGAAGAAGCAGAGAAACACCATCAGAGAAGGTCCTGGGGAGCACCACAGAGCCAAGAGCCCCCCCACTTGTCTCAATCTATAAGGGAGGAGACCAACCAGACCTAGCACCGTCAGGAGCACATCACACCATGTCCCTTTGGCCCAAGGACAGCTTGGCCCCTTCCCCAGTAACCAGTGCTTTATGGCACCAAAGCCACTTATGACCAGTGAGTCATCTGATAAGTGACATAACTGAGGGAGCCAGGAATGACGTTTGCCCTGCGGTTGACTTCTCCCGTGCCTAATGAGGCAGTCACCTTTCTCCCCAGTGGTTTCTCAGGTGCCTAATAAGGGGTTGAGTTTGCTCAGCATGAAGCCTTAGGAACTTCCTCTCCTATGTGGCTTCTACCATCAGAGGTGGAGAGGTGTCAAGCCTAGGCTGGTACTGGACTAAGGGGTTTGAAAGAAAGAAGTGGGCAAAACTTGTACCATAAGCCTCATTTCTTTAGGGCTTTGGGAATCTCTGGCCCCACCATGCTCACCCTGGCCAGGCCACCCCAGCCTGCCCATGTAGCTGGTGCTGACAGGGACCAGCATCCCTTCCTCCTGTAGCAGTGCCCACCTCTCAGCTTCCCCATCCACAGGCAGCGCTGCCAGCCCATGTCTCCTGTTTTCCCAATGGGTAGAGCAGGTCCCACACTAGCCCAACCCAAGACAGATATCCCACTCACAAGTCCTGTGTAGACCAGAGCCACCACAGCAGCAGCAATTTCGGCAATGAAGATGATCAGCACCACCGAGAAGAACTAGGATACAACAAGGGGAGGGAGGTCAGAGCAACAGGCAGAGTCTACCAGGCCCCCAGGAATCCATCTGCTTCCCAAGGACCAGCAGGATCCTCCCTTAAGGTTCCAGCCCTGTCTCATTGCCTTCAGCTCTGGTCTAAGGGAGAAACAGCCCAACCTTGGGGTCCTCCAGCCCTCCGTCTGCATGGGGCTGACCTCTCCAGACATGCCCCAAGAGAGACCTCTGCTCAGCACCAGCTTCTGCTTCCTTTCACCCTTGCTCAAGGCAGACTCTGGGTCAAGCACTGCCTTTCCAAGGTTCACCCAGCCTTCTACCACATGGAAACATCCAAGGAGCACATCTCCACAGAGAAATCTGTCCTTCAGATCTCCCCCACCACAGACCCAGCTCAAATGAGGCTTGATAAGGAGATGTCAGGTCCATACCATCATCAGGAGACACTTGCTCTCCTTCTGGGCGCCACAGCACCCGAGAAAGCCGATCGCCAGCAGGATGGAACCAATGACGATGAGGAAGTAGCTCACATTCACAACCTGCAGGACGCTAGAGGAGAGCGCCCCAAATATATCCAGGAATGACTTTCCATCTACTGTGACCCAGATGCCAACTCCCAGGAGGGTTCCACCACCGAGCTGGGAGGAGAAAGACAATGTCAGCTCCCAGGCAGAGATCTGGGATTTCGGAAAGGCCGTAACACAGGTATTTCTTCCCTCTGCAAGTTTTTGCTGTACCAAAGCAAGACTTTGTGGCCACTGAGGGCAGCTCACACTACCCTGAAACACACCCCACCAGCAGCACATCCCCAGCTGTGGTGTCACAGCTGCCCCCTTCCCCAGCCCAAGGGGTTTCGGTGCCAACAGCAGGGCAGTCAAGCCAGCAGTGCCACCAGCCACTCCCTGACCCCAGACGGACCTACACGGCCAGCTCAGACACTGGCCACCATCACACTGCCACAAGTTCCTCTGTCTGAGGAAGCTGCCCACTCACCCAGGGAAGCAGCTGAGCAGCCCCCAGCCCCAGATGCTCACACACTGTTGCAAGGGCAGCTCAGGGCTGCCTCCAGCCTGCCCCAGCCCTGCCCTCCACCCCCTCAACCTTCCCCACCAGCCCCAAGTCCTGGCAAGAGTTTTAAGGAGAGTTTCACCAGGGTGAGCCTGGGGGCTCTGCAACCCCCCTTCCCAAGGGAACGTCCCACCGCACCCCCTTCCAGGTGGCTCCACTGCTCCTGTAGAGCCAGGGTAGCTCTCAGGAGCCCTACTGCCCTTTGCCCTGGGTGGGAGCAGAGGGTGTGTGTGCTCTGGAGACCCCCAACATCCAAGACCCTTGACACCCAAGAGCCCCGACACCTCAGGTCATCATCACGCACATGGGCTGCTCCCCTACAGAGACGGAGCCCCCCAGGCAGGGACCCAGCAAACCCCACTGCTCTGGGGCACCCACCACCCTCCACCAGATCTTCAGCACAGGGAGGAACATGGGTGGCTGATGCAATAGTCACTGTCCCCAGAGCCCCGTCCCGGGGGCTTTGGCCAGAGCTGGAGAGCGAGAGACACTC